CAGTGAAGGTGAGGAGGGGTCTCTGCTCCCCAGGGAGCCCCCAGCACACAGGGGACGTGAAATGGCTGCAGCGTCACCCCATTCCTCTGGTGAAACAGCTCTGGGGGGGCCCCAGGCTCTGCTCGAGTCCCACCGCAGCAGCCCTGAAGCAGGGCCAAGGTGGGCACAGATGAGGGGGTGCAGGTGAGGGGATGGATACAGGTGAGGGGGTGGCACAAGTGAGGGGATGGCACAGGTGCAGGGATGGCACAGGTGAGGGGGTGGCACAGGTGAGGAGGTGGTGCAGGTAAGAGGGTGGATATAGATGAGGGTGTGGCACAGGTGAGGTGGCACAGGTGACAGGGGGGGCACAGGTGAGGGGGTGGCATAAGTGAGGTGGTGGCACAGATGAGGGGGTGGCACAGGTGAGGGGATGGCACAGGTGAGGGGGTGGCACAGGTGAGGGGTGGGCACAGGTGACGGGGTGGCACAGGTGAAGGTGTGTCACAGGTGAGGTGGCGTAGGTGAGGGTGTGGGCACAGGTGATGTGGTGGGCATAGGTGAGGTGGTGCAGGTGAGGGGGTGGCACAGGTGAGGGGGTGGGCAYAGTGAGRGGATGGCACARYTGAGGRACTGCCTCCAGCCCCGTTTTGTAACGGCCATAAGCAGCTCAGAGCAGCTTTACCCCTGYGATGAGTGTGACCCTGGATAAGCTCCTTGGGGTCTGGAGACTCACCCTCACCCCACCCCTTTCTCCTCACGCACGGCGAGACGGTCCCAGGTCCCTTCTGCCACCAGCTCCGAGCTCCTGGGTGTCACCAACACCTGGACAACCCCTCGAAGTGGCACCCAACCACCACACCCGACCCTGCCGCATCCCCCGCCTCACAAATAATCCCGCTCTCCTGTTTGGGAAAGTCAAAGCAGCTCAGAGCAGGKCCAGATGATCCCCAGCTTAGGGATTTAGTGGTGCCATCATCACAGCCAGCTCAGCACCTCGGTGCAGGGGCAGCGTGTCAGTGTGTCAGTGAGTCAGCACATGGCGCACACGCGTGTGGACGAACCCCTCCACACGGGAACACTCTCACCGAAACGGGGAAAACGGGAAAATTTTCCTTGCTGGCAAGAGAAAACGCATTTCTGGTGTCTGGGTGGGATGCTCCACGTGGCTGGGCTGCAATTTGGGAWTCGGGAAGGGAACGGGGTGATTCTACAGAAACCCCACGTGTCCACCGTGCGCTTCCCGGCTCTCCCAGCGTGTGCACGGCAGCACGTGCCCCCGGGACACGGACCGGGGCTCCGGGAGTGCCCGGGAGGCTGAGGCATCCTGCAGGTGCCCTTGGCTTTTCCTCCCAGCAGGGATATTTTGGGMGCGTGGTGATAGCCGCAGTGCCCCGGGCGCCGGGGGGATGCCCGCTGCTGCGCTGGCTGATGAAAGCTGCCCTTTGGTCGCTGGCAGGAACAAGCTGGGAAATCGAGGGGGTTTTGTCCCCAGATAAAACGGCCCCAAGCTGAGCTTTGAGCGGGCGCTTGCGCAACGGGGAGCCGGGCCAGCGTGTGGGATCTCGGCGGGATGAGCAGGGGGCATTGGCTCCTGCTGCAGGAGCATCCCACCCCAAATTCTGCAGCAGAGAGCATCCCACCCCAAATTCTGCACCAGACTCTCTGTGATGGGGTTGAGATTGGGGTCACTGGGTGGTGTTTAGGGGAGCACATATGAGGGACTGGGGAGGTGGGATATGGTCAGCGGCTTTGCAGGATTTTGGGCTGGGCTGCGGCTCAGAATTTGAGATCATCCCCACGCCAGAGGCAGAGTGATCAGCGCTCCATTTGGGATTGCTCCAGGGGAAGAACAGCATCTCCAGGTTGGGTGATGCCTCCCAGTACCCACCCTGCTGGGACACGGCTTTGATGCTCCCACTGCAGACCACCCCTCTCCAATCCCCAGCGAGGATTCCTGGGATTCCCAGCCCCTGCTTKATTCCTGGGAACCCCATCTTTGGGGAAAACCCCTCTGTAGAGGCCTCGAGAACACACAAGGAGCATCTAAACCCCACAACTTCCAGTATGGCAGCGCCACGCAGCTTCTGTGCCATCCCAGCCCTTCTGGCCAAGCAGGACCCTCTCCCTCACCCCATCCACGCAAGTGCTCCCAGGAGAAAACAGCCAGAGCCTGRATGTTGCATTTCCACCCATTTATTTGGGAAGCCACGCCAAAATGTTCTGTAATAAATTAAAGCAGAGGCCATGTGGGTGCATGAGGAARGGGAAGGCAGAGAGGATGGAGCACCAGGGAGTCCCACCGGCTTCGAGAACTGAGGAAGCAGGGATAGCTGCAAAACCAGTGGCACAAAACAAATCTGTGCATTTGAGTGTGGTCTTGAAGGCAAAGTTKGAGCCAGACCTCCCTGAACGGAGGCACCGGGCTGGAGGAGACCTGGCTGGTGGGTGGGAACGGGGGAGGAAAGCACAAACCCAGGGAAAGGGGAAGCACTCAGCACCAGGAACTCGGCCCTCACAGCCCCAAGGCTTCCAGGGATCAGAGAAGTTTGTCCAGTCACTGCTGTTTGGGGGTTCTTGATGAAGTCCTATCCTTCATCCTCCTCCCCCAGACCTGTTATTTGTGCCGTTCTGTCCCCAAAACCAGGCCTGAGTTGGGTGCAGGAAGGTTTTTTTTTGCAGCAGCAGGGACAGGTGGGCTCATCGTCCTCCAGATGAGGCTGGAGGAAGCAGATCCGTTCCTGCATCCCACTCTGCTCCCGAGGAAGCCACATCCCAACCCTTCATCAGACACTGAATGTGAACCAAGGGGGCCCCCACACCAGAGGGGACCCCCAGAAATGTGGGATCTGCTTGGGAACAGGGATGTCCGGAGTCATCAGCACCCCCAGCCCAGGTTTGGGCAGTCCACRGTGGCCTTGGCTCTGTCCCAGATGTCCCCAGAGCCCCCTGCTCCAGGCGCTGTCTGGACACAACCCTCCCTCCCTCCCAACCTTTCCAAAGCTGTCCATCGYACCGAGGGCTCACTCCAGCTCACACAGACCTCTCCAGCTGCCTCCCCCTCCACCAGATAGACAATCCTGGAGAAGCGGGGAGGATCCCAGCACATCTCCCCCAGCCCTAACTACAACCACAGGCATCAACAATCATGTCGGGAATGTCAGTCTTGACGATATTGCTGTTGCGATCGAAGTAGAGCACGGAGAGCGGCCGGCGCCGCGTGGGCACGCAGCAGGAATGCCCCGACGCCTGGATGTTGTTGGCTTTGACGAGGTTGAAGACGGCTGTGTGGAARGAAGAGGCCATGCCGGGGCTGCCTGCCACGTGCAGAGGGCACTGGCCCACGCARTAGTTTATCTGGTAGCCCTCGGGCTTAATGATCCAGTCGTTCCAACCGATGTCGCGGAAATCCACGTAGTAATCCTTGCGGCAGCAGAGGTTGGAGTTCTGGCTRCAGCGGAGGCTGCGCTTGGCCACGCGGTGTTCGGGCTCCCTCAGCTTCACTTTGGCCACCAGGAAGGGCTGGTGGGACCAGCTGGCGTTGAACGACGCCGTGACATCGCTCCCGTCACCGCGGCTCTCCAGTTCCAGCCGCAGGGTCCGGCTCTGCCCCTCGAAGAAGCTCTGCAGAGCCGGCAGGAGGGGGAAGGAGCGCCAGCCGCTGCCCGCAGCGCTCAGCCGCCTCTCCCCCAGCAGCGTGCGGTTGCCCCCCGCTGCAGCCCCGGCCTCACCGGCCAGGAAGATGCTCAGGGTGAGGCTGGGGCGGGGCACTCGCAGGTAGAGCCAGAGCTGAGCCTGCAGGATGCGAATGTCCTGGTCCTGCGCCTGGCTGAACTGGAACCGCAGCCCCAAACCGGAGGGAGATGTGAGATCTGAGGGGAGAAARGGATGAGGAGGTGAGCACTGAGGGATGCTCCCCCGCCATCCAGAGAGGCAAGACTTTCAGCTTCTTCTCAGGAAATCCCTGCAAACTTCTCTCCCTCCGCGGGGTAGTCTGTCCTCCACTCTCCCCAGGGAATGGAACCTCCGCAATGGGGGGCTGTCCCACACTGCCTGGCAGAAGGGAAACCTGCTCTCACCTGGTCCTTCGTCACAGAGTGAGGCTGGAAAGTGTTTCCAGCCCCATCGAACCCTGCAGCTCCCAACTCTGACTCCTCAGGAGTCCCAGGCACCCTGGGGATCCCCATATTTGGTGGGCGGGGGGATTGCAGCCCCTCGGGTGCAGGGTCCCAACATGCAGGAGCGGGACAGGAGCCACCTCCCCCTCCCAGGCTGAGCCCCCKCGCAGCAGCGGCGCCGGGGATGTCACCGATGCGCGACAGATGCGGTGACACCCGAGTTACCCACAGCCCGCGAGGGTCCGGGGCTGCGCGTCCCTGAGGGTCCCCACGGACCCCTCACCCCGGGGCTCACCGGGCTCTCCAGCAGCGAGGGGAACCGCGTGGGCTCCCACGGTGGTCGCGCACTCACCTCTCTCCGCGAAACTGATGATCTCGTAGCCCTGCTCCTCCTCCTCCTCCTCGGTAACATCGGGGCTCCGGCGGGCGCCTCCCGCCTGCAGCCGCCGCAGGGCGCGGGCMACGGCGGCGCGGGGCACGGAGTGGGAGAGCCGCGGCCGATCGCGGAGCCGCAGCTTTTCCAGCAGCTGCTTCTTGGCCACTTCTTCCAGCAGCCGCCGCTCCGCGCCCGCCGGGCACGACGGGCAGCGCGGCTCGGCCGCCGCGCACAGAACCGCGGCCAGCAGTAGCCACGGGGCCGCGCCGCTCGCCGCCATCCGCGCCCACCGGACGGGACGGGAGCGGTGAACCGGGAGCGGCACAGACGGGGAGGGACCGTCACCGGCACCGAGGGAGCGGTACCTAGCGGACGGCACCGGGAGCGGCGTGACGGGACCCKCGTGGATGGSACGGGAGCGGCACCGGGAGCGGCACCGGGAGCAGCGCCGACGGGACGGGAGCGGCACCGGGAGCGGTGCGGCGGGGCCTTCTTTGGGCACCTGCGGCCGGGGGCGGTCCCGCCGTCCCCCCCGCCCCCCGCCATTGGCCGCTGCACCTGCCTGTCCCGTCCCGTCCCGTCCCGTCGGGGATTATCGGGATTAGCACCCCAACCCCGCCTCTCCGCGGGGGGAGCGGTGAGCAGCCCCCCCATCCTGCCCGGTTCTCGGTCCCCGCGAATTGTCGGGTCGCTGCGGGAGGAGTCCCACGGGGAGCCGAGCACCGGTTCCTGCCGTGGGTTGAACATAAGTGAGGGTCGTGCAGGGAGAATTTCAAGTGAGTGTGAGGAAATAGCGGAACGTGCAGAGATGTGTGGGCTCTGGGTGTACGTGGATTCTACCCGCGGGTCACCCTGGCATCTGCTCACGGGGAAGAGGGACCCCGGCCAGCCCCCCAATATGGGCAGCAGGATCTTCCAGAACATTCAGGGAGTGAGGGCTGGGCAAATCCTGGCGAGCAGAGTGCTGGAGCAGCTAGCCAGAGGGATGCCAGCTCACCTGGCCATCCGTGGACCCCACACACCCGCCCCCAGCCTGGCACTGCCCCCCGGGCACCCCCAAGAAATCCTGGCAATGACAATCCCTCTGAGTGCTGACAGAGGACGCAGCAGGGGTCAGGGGCTCCTGGAATGACCCCACAGCTCTGAGTTTTGGTCACTCCCACCATGTGATGGATTCTGGGGTCCCAGCCCAGCCCTTGGACCACCCGCTCCATCCTCAGCCCAGATCAGCGCTGGGAAGGGCCAGTGAATGTGAGCACCGTGTTCCCTCCTCCTCCTCATACAATAAAAAAGGGGATTTATACATCCTGAGGACTCAGGAGGTGACAGCCAGCGTCACATCAACCTGACTCTGGTTGAAGTCCAACTCTTCCTTGGACTCTTTGGAGTGGGATGTGCAGCCTGAGGCAGGGCAGAAATCTCCCRAAAGTGATGCAAGATGCCACGATGTTGGGGAATCAGCAGAGCCCAGCTGGAGCAGCAAAGCCAGGGAACTTGAAGCCCTGCCAGGCCAGCGCTCTGGCATGTCCTGCGCCCACCATGCCATGCACCGACTCCAAGGTCTTGACCACACGGAGCCCCTGGCCCTGGCCAAGCCAGAGGTGCCATGTAAACACAGTGGGCTGTCTGGGAAAAAATGCACCCACCGGAGATGATGCAACCACGGAGCAAGGGGCAAAGGGCTCAGCTGGATGGGCAGCTCCCAGAATAGCCCAGGAATGTCAACAGAGAGGAAAGATTGGGCACAGGTTGGCCCCGGGAGCACGGATCCCACAGGGCCTGGGAGCTCTGGCTGCAGGCAGGGACAGGATGGAGCAGGTGGCACTTTTAGATGAGTGCAGGGCACACGTGCTCATGGGCAAAGATGTTCCCACATGGASAGTGACTTCTTCCATGACCTGGAGTGACAGGGGTGATGTCTTCTCACTGACAGGGGACAGAGTTAGATGGGATTTTGGGAAGAAATTCCTCACTGGTGGTGAGAYGTTGGTAGGGGTTGCTCAGAGAAGYCACATCTTCAAGAGTTYAAGGCCRTTTTGGACAGGACTCAGAGCAACCTGAGGCAGTGGAAGRTGTCCCTGCCCATGGCAAGGGGTGGAACTGGATGARTTTAAGGTCCCTTCCAACCCAARCCATTCCAGGATTCTCTGATGCACATTTATAGTGTTAAGGACCCCTCCCAAATATCTGGATACCTGCTCCATTTTGGACACGCTCCTCATGTTCCATGTGCTCACTGCCCTGCTGTGCTGAATTCCTCCATCCCTGCCAGAACCCTGACAGCAGGAAACGGGATGAAATGTGGCAAAAAGGGAGAGGAATTGTCCAACACACCCACCCTCCATTCCAGGCTGGGAGAAGAGTATCCGCAATGGGATTAACCCTGGATCCCTCTGAGTGAAAAGGGATCTTCATCTRACCCATTACACMTTCAAATCKAAATTTTATTGCAAAAATTAAAATAAAAAATCCAACAACTTCCAGTGAATTARTAAYTGCAGGCTTCAATCTATCAAGTGTCATTAATCACCCCAAAAATGTCRTCGGGTTGAAATAAAATGCCAGCAAGTTTACCTACAATAATAACAGATGTATCAAAACCAGAAAAATTCTAGTTATGTCATTATTAAAAACAAACAAATCTCAGAATTACCAGCCCAAAATATGATTCAATCTGAATTACTCCAGGGCTACTGGTGTTTTTTGATGAGTGAAAGATGCAACTGAAGCACCCCACGATCCCCATCCCATTTCCAGCTCAGCAGGAGCATCCGCTCCCCATCCCCTCGCACCGCGTGCCCCCCGTCACGCTCCGGCCCCCAAATCTAGGGCAGGGGTCAGCTCAGAGCTGCAGCAGCTCTTGCACCCATTGCATAATTGTGTTGTTGATTAAGCAGTTCCCAGAAAGCAAAGCCCAGGGGCTGACCTGACCAAAATACCCGCCAAGGTCCCCCYGGGCTCAGTACCTGGTGCACACATGGCTCCGGGGGCCTCTGACCCCCGTGGCCGGTGGGGCGAACGTGGCACCCGGTGACCTGACCTGGAGGTGACAACTTGTGCAGCAGTGCCTGAGTGCAGCTCATGGAATTGTGGAATGATGGAATGGTGGAATGATTAAAGTTGGAAAAGCCTGGATGGTTGAGTTCAACTGTTAACCCAGCACAGCCAAGGCCACCACTAAAACTGTGTCCCCAGCTGCCATTTCTGCATGTTTTTGAACATTTCCAGCGATGGTGACTCCACCATTGCCCTGGGCCACCATGTTGCACTCTTTCCATGAAGAAATTTCTCTTAATGTCCAATCTAAACCTCTCCTGGCACAACTTGAGGCTATTTCCTCTTGTCCCATGGCTCATTCCTTGGGACAAGAGCACCAGTCACCACAGTGGTGCCACAGACTGGGAATGGGCCATGAGACTGGGAATGGGCCATGAGACTGGGAATGGGCCATGAGACTGGGAATTAAACATTAACTCTTCTCAAGGCAAGGGAAGGGACTGTCAGAATTTCCCACCCCTCCCGGGAGCTGGACCTGCCCGGGGGCACTTGGCACAGAGCGCTTGGACCTTTGCTTCAGGGGCTGTTGATACTGGCAAAGGGTCCCTCCAGCACATCTGTCCCCTCCTGGAGTGGAGACCGTGGGGATCTGTCCCCATCTTTGTCACATCTGCACCGGGATTGAATCCACGGATGCCACGTCCCCATGGCATTGGTTCAGGGTGGGCTCCACGCTGGCCTTACTGGTCCTGACAGGACAATCTGGCAGCACTGGGCTTGAGCCACGCTTTTCAAAGGTCCTGAAAGAGCAGGGAGGGTAGGGAGTCATTGTAGGGAGGGTTTCTGGTTCTTCACTGAGTGCACCTTCCTCACCCTGCGTGTTCCCCAGATGGAAAACGCCAGTCTGGAATTCCTGACCCGTGGTGTGGGTGAGGAAGGATTGGGTGCATCCAGGTGCTGTTTTTCTTGTGAGAATGGGACAAACCTCAGCTCAGCATCTCTGCTTGAGCTGAAGGCTCTGTGGGGCCACAGAAGTGGCCAAGAGTTTCCTTGCCCCATCCCCAATCCCTGCATGCCCACAGCTGCTGCATCGCAGGAAGCTTGGCGCTGSCTCCAGGGAAGTTGTTTGTTCAATAAATATAGACGGTGAAATGAGGCGTTGGAAAAAGAAGGGCTAAAACAAACACCAAACCCTCTTTGGGTTTGCGCAAGTGGCCTTGGATCCCAGACAGGATCGATCCCCGAGCCTTCCTCCCTTCCCATGCAGCGGGAATGCTTCAGGTCCCAGTCCTGGAGGCACCTGGACACCTGGATTTGTGGAGATGGAGGTTCCTGCTCTGTCAGGTCTGGACATGTGGGCACTGTCACCTGCTGGTGGCCCTTYCATCCCTTCTCCRGGTGTCCCAGRTCCTYCAGGGCAGCACATCCCTGCTCCAGMTGCTCRTGGCTTGTGGCTTTCTCATCCTGGAGCAGGCAGAGGAGGCAAAGCTGGGTGGGGAGAGGGTCTGACACCCCYTCCTCAYTCTTTTGTCCCTCTYCCCACCWGGATCAGCTCTGGGGYTGGCTGTCAACCCCTGCAGGTGSTGAYTGAGGTCACCYGKCTGRGGACAYGGGGGTCCCARTTCCAGTGGGACTTTATGAGAGCACCTGTCACAAAGTGTGTGCATGTGGCCAAGCACTGTCACTGCTACTG